CTGTGGCTTTTTTTTTTTTCCTCCCTAGGACTGCCCTTTCATTGTCTGTATGACCTATGCCTTCCATACTCCAGATAAACTATGCTTCATCTTGGATCTGATGAACGGTGAGCAACACGCAGGAAGTCTGAGTGCAGGGAGAGACTTGGCCGTGATGTGAGACCTCAGCACACCCTGATCTGCACACGCCGGCAGTTTGGGTCTCTGGGATAATTGGGTTTCCCCCCAAAATTTAAGGAAACCTTCTGCTCTTCAAGTTTCCATTGAAATTCATTTTAAATTCCCCTCTGCGCCCTCCCAGTTTCTCACCAGGAAGTTTGCACTTTCCGGAAGAGATTTTCACAAACGACGTAAACTTCATCTTCTGGAATGCAGCTGGCCTAGATCTTTAATTAGCTTGTTTCCTAACCCTCAACTTTTAGGAATGAAATGCCTCATAAGAACGTAGGCCAAAGATATATTAGGAAGCCGACTTTGAAGGACTGGCTGTGGGCCAGCCCGGCTTCTGGCTGGACGGACCAGCCGTCCATTGGTCTTGTAAGCTATGAGTGCCGACAAAGTTCTAGCTAAAAAAGTAGCTTTCTAATGCTAGAGAGTGACACGGCATGTACTCAAAGCGTTTTCCGTAACAAGAGCTGACGCAAAAGGCATCCGGGACAACAAATGCACAGCTTCCTTTTTTGGAAGTTCATTTGAAGTTCGGTTACATTTGGAGGGTTTGACCCAAAGCCAGACCTATTCAACAGCGTGGAGGAATTTCACAGACGTTAATAGTGGGCCAAGAAGCCAGACACCATAGCACATATCCTGCGTGATTCCACGGTTAGCACTCTCAGAACGGTTAAGATGAACGGATGGTGGAAGGTCAGATTGAAGTCCCCTTGGCCTAACCGAGGGGCCAGGGGCTGAGGCATTGACAGGGAAGGCCACGGGGCCTCTGGGATCCTGCACATCTTACATCTTGACCTGCCAGTGGTTCTACAGGAACACGTGTGTGTGGAAGGGAAGGTGCTTACAAAAGCAGGGGCCATACAGTGGGCACACGTGAACTTTTCTAGATCAGTAGAAGCTATTCCTTGACAGCTTATGAGAATATTCCCTTATCCTGTTGGTGGCATTCTCTCACTGTGTAACTTGAGCCCATATGGGAATTGATTTTTTCCAAACGTTTTATTATGGAAAACTACAAACACAGGGCAAAACTGAAGAAATTGTACGGGGAACACCCAAATCCCCACCTACCTGGATTTCACCAGTTACAATTTTATGGTTGCATCCGCTTTATCATCTGTCTCTCGGTATGATTGTTTTGTTTGTTTGCTCATTCATTTATTGTCCCCGGAGCCAGTTGCCAAGCCGGCTACTGGGTCAACCATGTCATGACCTGTTCATTAGACAGGAAGTTAGTGATCCAAGCAGGTTAGCTTGCGAGGGTACATGTGGGAGCTGGATTCCCAGTCTGCGAATGATGGCTTCGTTGTCAATTGCTGTGGCCACCCACCCCTGCATTTAAGTGTTAACAATGTATAAGCTTCCTCTGTACTCTGGAAAGTGTTTTGTCAGACTAGGCAAGTCAAAGACAGATATATACGAAGCAGGAGCCAAGTTTGCCTTTTTGTACTGGGTCCTAACGATTTACGATGACGTTTTTTGTTTCTTGCAAATTAACATGCTTTGCCTTGACCTGTCCTTCTCTGATTCCAGGGGGCGATTTGCACTATCACCTTTCCCAGCATGGGGTATTTTCTGAGAAGGAGATGCGGTTTTATGCCACCGAAATCATCCTGGGGCTGGAGCACATGCACAATCGGTTTGTTGTTTACAGAGATTTGAAGGTAAGGCAGTCTGGTTTCGGGACCTGTGCGGCAGGTATGGCGGTCACGGGTGTCCAGACGGTCCCTTCTCTTTCATAGGACCTGCCGTTTTCCTCATCTGAGCCCCGGGGAAGTCACCTCTGTGTGGTATCCATCTGTCCAGACCCTAAACCCTGTTCCAGGAACTCCCTTCCTTCCTAGTTGTCGCTGTCCACCCCGTGTGTCCTACCCTGCCTGGTGCAACACACATACTAACTCAAAAGTTTTTCATTGGTTAATGAATGAAAAGCAAGCCAGGAGTTACTTGGTGTTGCTGATTTTACAATTAATTGTAACGCACTTAATGTTCACTAAGCAGCCGATTCGGCCATGGCTCTATGTTAGAACTCGTGATGTTCAAAACTGAACAAGCAAAGAGCATGCATCTTCTGGGATTCATACACCGGTAAACTGAGGCGTAGAACAGCTGAGCCACAACTCCTCCGAGGCAGGGCCAATCAGCCTGCAGAACTTTCCCCCCGCAGGCCACTCTGAGAGTTTCACATTGTTTTAAGACTGTGTTCAAAATCACCAACAGATTTGTAGATCCTTGAACTGCAGAGCCCTAGACTGTTGGTGCCTGGGTTTCTCCACTCTCACTCTCCCTGGACTGGGAAGAAAAGGCAGTGAGTGCATTCCGAGTCTCCCCCTTCTGAACCACGATGCCCGGTCCTGGGTTCTGCGTTTATGAGGGAGCTGGGGTTTTGCTCAGTATGTCCATAGGGACACTTGTGGTGAGAAGACCGGGATAGAGACAAAAGAGACCTTGACAAATGATAGAAATGATCAGGCAGATACATAAATGGGCACATGTTGATGCGAAGAAAAACGAGAGGAGAGACAGTCTCCCAAACAGAGAAAGCAGTCCGGGAGGACGTGTTTGCCTCCTCTTTCAGATTCCTTCTGGAACAGACCCAGGGCCACCGACTGAAATGTACAGCTTATGCTCCTTTTCTCTAAGTAGCTATGTTTTGATCGGCTGCCTTAGCTTTTTAAAGTTACCTTCTAAGAATCTAAAAGATGGTATTTTCTTTTTGAGCCTCTTGGCTTTTTTTTTTTTCTTCACAAAATGCTTTGTACAAGTTAAGGCTTTCTGCAAGGTTACAGAATTACTCCCTTAGTTTTCATCTGAGCATGAAGGAGACAAAAATATATTTTCATTGAATTAGAAATAATTAGGTAGTGGTTGGCACCTGACAGTTTGTTCCCCTGCTCCGTGAGTTTTGCAGGAGAATACAATACATGCTGAAGGCCCTTGAAGCCCTATTGTAATACATTTTAATTTAAATCTATAACCGGTCTCTAATCATCTCTATGCTGTATCTTGTTTTTGTTTTCGAAGCTATTTAGTAGGCAGTGGTATTATTTAATTTCTATTCAAACTGAATTCTAGTCACTCATGATTATTCATGCTTTAGTTTTATAATAGCATGCCATTATTTTTATTTCAAGCAAAACAATAGTTGATCTCCAAAAGAAAAATATTAAGATGACTGTAATTCAGCGTGTATTAGGGAGAGGAGCTTTGTTTTCCTTGCTCATGTTGGCTAAATCCAATGTCAGTGGATATATGTCATCGGAGTTGTGCTGAGAACCACTGTGGGTCATTCGGTAGGGTCCTGTGTTCTGATTACGCACTCACAGGCGTGCCGTTCGAGATCGGTGTGGCACTGTGGAGTGTTCTGGTTTCTTAGGTCAGCGTTTGTACATTCTCGTGAGGTTCCTTTCTGTTCCGTGCCTCGTGGCCTCATTCCCAGAGCCCTTTGTGGGTCACAGAAGCCAAGAAGCTGGTGGGCTCACTCCCTTTGTGGAGAGGCGCGCTGCTCTGGCCGGGCCACAGTCCCCACGGGGGAAAGAAACTACTTTCTATCTGATGAACTGTGGTCATAACCACCGCCC